CTGGCTCAGCCCCTTCAGAAATCACAGGCACCAAACCTCCCCTAGGGGGTAAACTTTCTGCTCCCCCCCATCCCTGCAGTTACTCTCTGACTATACATTTATTTTTTTCCAGATCCTTTAGAAACGGAACCCATTTGTGAGAGTGTGCTTATCTTCAAAACAAATTTGTATTTTGCATGTGTGTGTGTGTCTAAAATAGAAACATACTTTAAATCCAGCGGCAAAGAGCCTGCAGGTGTAAGTGCAGACCACGTGACCTTGGTGGGAGCGCGTGTTTCTGTGCGGGTGTATTTCTCTGGTTACGTTTACAAACCAGTTCTGCTTTCAGCGTTCTCCCATACTGTTGCTGAGCCCCAGCCACCGCACCAACCCTCTCAGTCCTGCTCACTGAACAATGTGCTTGCTGGGTTAATCATTCACCCACCTGGCTGTTCCCTGAACGGATTTGGAATGCTAGTGCTTTAACCCCAACTGACCCCAGGCCTCAGCACTCCCTCCCAGCCAGTAGGAGGGGTGTAAAAGGTCCTCCCTTAAAAACGTCTTTAACTAGCATGCCTAGATAGGTAATGTTTTATTGCTGAAAGGATTATCATTAATTAATTCTGCCTTACAGTTCTTTTTTTTTTTTTACTTTCTGTACCACAGAATGCTACTAAGATCATAGAGGCAGAGCCAGGGCTGAGCTCAGAAGCATTTTACCCCGCTGAATAATTCACTGGCCTGGGCGCTGGTGTGCAGGGAACACTTGTCATTACAGGATATTGGTGTTGGGAAGTTAGAACGATTTTGTCCACTTTTCTTATTTCACAAATGAGGAAAACTAAAGGAAAGGGAAGTGTAACTACACGTTCTGGATCATACCCCGCTGGTCTGCGTCTAAGGCAAGCCCTCAATGCCTCTTAGTTAACCAGAATATCCATATGCCGGTCATTCATCTTAAGGGTTATTCACAAATTGTGTTTTTACTGCCTTGCTGGGTCGCTGACCCAACCCTCTTCATTAGAAGACAGAAATATCTGAACTTGATCGTGTGAGTAGCTGAAGTTAAGCCAAGCACTCAGAGCTAAAGAACAATTCCTGAATAATCACCCTTTTCAGATCCTTGGCTAGACACTTACATAAACCCTGCTTCCAAAAACATCTGGAAAATAACCCAGTGTAAAAATAAACAAGAAAGGAAGGAAACAAGGAAGGAAGACTAAACTTTTCCTCAGTGAAATAAATGGTTTGAAATCTGAATTTGGGGGTTTGACTTGTAAGCAGAAATCCAGGGTATCTCTCACTGTTAAGAGGGAAGGAACTGTTTATGGTTGGCTTAAGCAGATAATAGGAAGTCGAGCTATCCAGATTCAATACTGAACTTTGTATTAGGCTAAGGAGATAGAAAGGAATGTTGACATTTCACATTTCCATAGGTTCCCTACCTCCA